CCATTATTTTCTAAACGACATATGAGCACTAGCACCCGAATCAGCTATCCAAACATCTTTTTCTCCATTTGGCCAATTTTTAAAGCGGCTTGGTAAATCACATATCAAAGCTTCCTGTCCTTTATTATCATTATTTCTATTGGATTTCCTGCGAGGACACTCTTTCCACCAATGCCCAACTTGTTTGCAATATCCACACTTGGTTTTCTGTTTTAATTCTTAAATATTCTGTTTTGATTTGGTTTGTGTGTGTGATTTTCTTAGAGATTGGGCTTGGAACGCTAAGCTATCATTTTTATTTCCAGAAACTGATAACTTCTGCTCTTCTTTTAATAGTCTTTTAATTAAATCTGAGAGCGTTTGTTTGGTGGAATCAACGGAACCCCAGGCAGTAATCAGCATTGCAGATTTTGACGGTAGGCTATTAATAATTTTGGACATAATTGCAACATCAGATAAGTCTTCTCCCATATCTTTTAATTGCTTAACCAAAAAATCTACTTCTGCTATGAATAATGTAATATCTTGATTTTTGTTCATTTGCAGCTCATAAAACTTTTGATACATGATATGTTTGGAAACTTCTGCCTTTTGTTTATGAACACTAATTAGCTTTTTCCACATTTCTGCTGCTGTTTCGCAATTTACGAGGTAAGTCAAGTACTTTTCATTAATGGTAGTAAGGAACATTACCATTGCCTGGTTATTTTTTTCTTCCATAGTTTTAACCTAACGGCTTCTGTACTTGGAGATTTTGTTTCAGTTCCATCTACGATATGCATTAGATCACTGGCATTTAGCATAATATTAATACTAAATTTCCATAACTGGAAGTTTGTTACATCAAACTTAATAATACGAGCAGCCATATCAGTTGAATTTGAAGCCATGATTTCTTAGAATCCTCTTATCTAACTGTGTCAACTAATTTTTCAGCAATTTTTCTCTAATATATCAAATGATGTATTTTCTTCAGAAGATATGTCTAGCTGGGCCCATAACCTATTGGAAATTCTGTTTCAACCCAAATAGAGTGCAGGAGAAGATAAATACAAAATAAGATTCCCTTTGAAAAATTAAAAATTGACGTTGGTTTTCAAAACTGATATATTCAATTAAATCAATAAAACAAGAACATCAAACATAAAAGCATCAATCTAGATCATAATGAAACTAAGTAGTCTGCATGTCTTCAGTTTTTATTAATAATAATATATAATGAGTTTGTAACGGTTTTAATCGAACGTTATGCCTTATCGCCTATTTCTGTCTCAAAACTAGCAGAGAATTAACTTATAATCTAGAAATTACCTTGAATATGCTCCTGTCGTAGAACTTCATTAGATTTTTCGAGAAAACACAGCTTTATTCAAATGGGATTTAGCGTAACTGGTGTAAATGTTCCTTCTTAGGACTCACATAATTTTTACAAGGTTACACTGAATTTCACTATGGTTTTCAGTAGTAGTTTTGACTCTTAAGATATTGTTCACAATAACCTCTGTATTTTGTTGATTTTATTCAAAAGGAATTTAGCGTAACTGGGGTAAATGTTCCTCCTTAGGGCTCACATAATTTTTACAAGGTTACACTGAATTTCACTATGATTCTCAATAATACTGTTCACTTGTAGAAGTGTAGTTTACAATGTTTTTAGTATTTTGTAGGTTAAAACTGATGTCGGATGTCAATTAATTTAATGAAGTATGCCTGTCGCATTTCGAGATGTCTATCTTTGTTCGATAAGTGATTCTTAGGTAATGCCTCTCTCTCTCTGCTTGACGTAGGACAAGGGGACGTCATATGTCTGACCTCGATTCATACGCCAGTGATTCGTGAACTAAGGAGTGCTCGTTTAAGCGGTGGTTGCTTTTCATGGGCAAATTTTTGGGTTTTCTTGTTGGTCGAGCAGCGTTAACAGAGCTGTCAGCCTGAATGCGAATGGTCGCATTCTAGCAGTTGAAGGAGGTCATTGGTCGCACAGTATAACCAACAATAATTTCTAGAGATCGGACAGTGGCGATTGGTTTAAATGGGTTTTCTTTGAAGTGATTCTGCGAAGTCGAGGTTTTATGCTAGGGGGCGAAGAACGGCGTAATTTATAACACGTGGCAGCTTCGTCTTTCTTTCCAACAAGGAATGTTAATGGAGGTGTTGAACTGAAAATTCGCTAAGAGACTTTTTACTTTTTTATGTGATTTTGTATATCATCCCGCGTGGGGAGTCTAGTAAAAGTGTCTCTATTTTATGGGAAGCATTGATGGTACGTTTTGAAGTTGGTTAACGCGAAGTTAGACCGGTATTTTTTTATGTGATTGTGTGCCGGCTTTCCCATCTCATCTTGAGGAGCATTGAATATTGAAGTTCAACCCATCCGTCGTCCTGGAGCAGTTTGATGGTTGGAGACCGATCGTAATTGGGTTATATATTGAAGGGAGAATTGGTCTTTAAGAAGTTCTACGCAGATTTCATTTCCTGTTTGATTCGAAGTTACACCCTCCGGAACAGAGGTTGCTTTTATTATTTTTGTTTTATTTGATAAATTGTAAATATTGCTACCCATTCATTTTAATAACAGATTCTTTCAGATTTTAAGGGGGTTGAATATGGGGAACAGGTTATACTGTATAGTTTTACTGGTTTATTTTTTATATTGAGCACTTTTGATGCTTTGCTTGAATAGTTTTTACTTGGGCAATAATTTCAACCCTCTGGGAGGTTCAATTAATTCACATTAATTTTCAACAGATAAAGGGGCGGGATCAATTTAGGTTATCAGATTGTAATTAGGATTGTACATTTTAGGGTGCTTGGTACCGGTGTTGCTTGGTATTGGTGTTGTTTGGTACCGGGGTTGTCTGCTACTGTTACTGGGCACGGTGCAGCTGTATGATAGTGAAGATACTGCCTAGTACTAGCGTTTTCCTGACTGGTATTGATTATGTACTTCCACTTTAACGAAGAACAGCCATTTTGGGGTTCGAACACCTCATCTACTTTTCTAGAACATCAGAGATTTGGTTGAGAGATTGATTTTAATGGGGTACTGACAAGTAATATTGATTTTATTAAGATTCAATGAACTAACACTGTCTAATTTCTGTACACTGCGCTAAAATATTGTAAATACTGGTATTAATTTGGGGTTATGATTAGCCCTCAGGTATGTAAGTAAAAATCTAGTCCTTCTAGCATATGAATTGTGTTTGAAGTCGCTAATAGCGCACTAATTGTAAAGGGGTCATTAACTAAGGGGAAACTATCTTCCAATTAGGAAATAAACAAGGTTTGAGTTAAGGTTGTCTTTTATTTTCCTATTTATTTGGTAGGTTTAAAAGTAGGACTTTTCTGATTTGTAGTGGCTTGGTATAGTAGATCTACCTGGCGTCCAATTTAACAGAACAGCTAAAATAATTTATTTTTCCCTGATTACGAAGTAATCACCCACTCCCTTCTCCACTTGAGTGAACCGGAGCTACAAGGTTGACATCAGGGACAACCGAACTTAAAGTAACGTTTTGGGGGTTACAAGTTGTGAAATCCAGTTACGAAAGCCTTGTATACTCTTCTTACAATATGTTTTGCCTATATTTAACCAATTTTATGCACTCTTTCAGTCAGAAAAATTATTAACTCCCTTAATTTACTCAGAATATATGCGTTTTTTAAAACTATAAGGAAGCACTTTTTTAAAAACAGAGTACCTTTCCGATAATATCACAAATTTAAATTGCATCCACACTGCCTCTTACCACTTGAAGCTATACAAATAGGTACGTTAACGTCTGATTTAATATCTTCCTTTGATAGAAAATTAAAGGAACAATTCCTACTTAATTGTCTTGATTTCTATACAATACAAACAACTAAAGATACATTTTTCTGAAGAAGAACTGTTAAATTTGCCAAAAGATACAAAAGTATTTTGGAAATATTTAGGTACATTACAAAACGATGAATATATTCTTAAAAATATTTCTGAGTTAGCTCTTATAATTTTATGTATCCCTTATAGCAATGCTGACGTAGAAAGAATATTTTCTAATATCACCGATATTAGCTTCGTTCGCGGTAACAATCCTAAACTGATTCAGAATTAGTAATTCATACTTTGAGCGCATGCCCGAATCATTATCAATTCTGAATTTTTACCGCGCGCGCAATCCCTATTATATCTTAGTGTTTCAGGTATAGACAAGTGATTCAAAATCAATAATAATTTTACCGCGAACACAGAATAGAACCAATAGTTCAGTTATTTTTGTTCCACGAACGCTTTTTAACTACTGCGCCTGCGAAATCGTTACTATTAGTAATAATTCGGTTCAGGTTTCTTACCGCGAACAAAGCTATTAAAACCAAAAAAGAAACAAGCTCTCAAATTAATTACTTGAAACTGTACTGCGAATAAAAGTTGATGTGCACTGTAAAAAAATATGTTGTCACGATTATACTTTTACAGAAAAACATTTTGCAAAATATAATGTTGAAATGTATTCCTTTAAAAACTAGTTTTAAAAATATTTTTGTTTATAGTTTATGTTCAATAAATATTTTTAAAACAAAGATAGTTTATATTATATCTGCCCCTTGCCTTACCTAAGTACAAGTTTTTCAGCCGTAGCGGTTTTTTCGTAGCAGGTAGCGGAATTTTGGGTAAGTGGTAACGGCAAGATACGCTAAACGGTTGGCACCACTGCAAGGAAGACCAGCGCAGTGTAGGCAGTACATTGTAATTGAGAATACTTGATCGTGAATAAAACCATTTAAAAGTAGTTTACACCTCTTTAGTAGAGATGATATATTCCTTCTGTTAACATTTACATAAATTGGTTTCTCTTGTATTGGAAGGCTGTTGCCCTTACAGACAAGCCGCCACTGCATGTTAATAAAGATCAATTTCCTTGTTGTGATCCCACCACTGTTTGTTTTAAAATGTAGTAAATAATTAAATATACTATTATGTTTTTAATTACAAATATATTTGAATCCCTCTTATTACAAAAGTAACGTACATATTTGAATGTCCATATTTTATACACATTCATCCACTAAGCATTTTGTTTTTATTACGTTAGCGTAATATTTTGAAGAATCTTTTGGAATTCTTGGGAGACTTGGATCAGATTGATTGACATAATAAATTCCCAATTTTCCACTGAAAAAAAAAAAAAAGAAAAATGTTTTAAAAAAATTTTTGGTAAGTTAATTTTAAATGTGTAACACGTTATTAATAGACACTAAAATATGAAGATGATTTTGAATAAAAAGAGAAACCTTAATGCTTAAATCTGTAGCTTGATAAAGCATTTTTGTTTTATTCAATTTTATGTACAAATATTTAGAAAATATATTAGCAGCTTTCTCCTTCTTTCTAATGCGGCAGCCGATGTATCATATCTGTCTGCGTAATAATAACTGTAGTTTGTTTTCGGAACACAGCTCGACATGACAGTCGACAGCGCGCATCACACAAGAAAACAGTCTGTCATGTCCGTCTCAATCGTCTGTATCTTGTCATGACACTCATTGTAGTTTTGTATTGTCTTTAAGAATTAAAAAACTTAAAAAGTCTTGTCTTTGTCTCGTTTAATACACAACAATAACCACAATACGAATAATTGCAATAAATAAGGGCTTAATTAAAAATAAATGGATTATTCTAGTACTTTTACGTCAATTAATTATACTGCAGTATATTTTAAATCAGTTCTAAAACTCTCTAAAATTCTTGATCTGATAAGCGTTAGGTGCTTGTTTAGATAAAATTGTGTACGAAATCATTTTTTCTATCGATTTTGCTACTACTTTTTACTTTCTGTATTTGACGCTTTGTACTGGTTGTCTATATAAGAAGGGACGCCAGTTTTCGATGGCAGAAAATATGCATTGTAGAATTTTGAAGAAAATATTTTTAATATAAAAGTAGTCAAGATACATGGATGGAAACTATTTTCAAGCTTCTTATTTTGCTGTTAGATAACGTAATATGTATGCACAATAATAAAGAGATAAATAAGTAGTCAAAATTTCACGCATATTATGATTTTGATATTTTCGACACAACTTAATTTACATTTTTTAAAAAAATCTATTTTCTATCATTGACCATGTACGTTACTCTAACTGTAAAGTTATGAATAAAAAATACTCTGATCTTTATGAAAAAGGGTTCTGGTACATTGTAAATTGAGTTTTTATAAGAGCGCAATAATTGAATTAAGAGCCAATTTGTCTATCGTGATGTCACATGAGAATGACATGCCTGGTCGATAGGAGACGAATGGGAATATGTAAACATAGTTTCAGCAGGAGGATGGCACTTTCCATATCTTCCATATAACATTGGCGTCTTATGCGGGTCTTCTACTGATTGTGTCATCTCCCAATTTGGCGACGCAAATTGGCCACTACGTTTTTGCAATTTGCACTTTTGGACCTTCTGGACTTCTGGCTGTGAGGTTATCTGAGGTCACAGGTTTATGCCAACAAGCCCGCGACTACCGAAGCATTGAAGGCCATAATAAGGCACTGTATCAACGAAATACCGCCACATACAGCAACAAATGTGACGAAGTCACTAAATTTTACCAAATTTTATATTTTTTTTCTCTTTTTTGAAATCTTTTTTTTTTATATTTACAAAGAATACTTATGTACTTACTTAAAACCTTGCGTCCATTCAAAATTGTCAATAATACTCCAAAGTGTATAAGCTTTTACATTTACACCACCATCGTAGATAGCATCCAATAAATGACTCAAATAGTTCTACAAGAAATTAAGTCTATTAAAAAAGTTGTCTACATTACAGAATTGTAAATGAGAGAAGGGGAAATAAATTTTGTTATGTAAAAAATTTGACACAAAATTCTACACGTAAAAAATGTTTTTTAATATTATAGATATTTTAAGAACTTTTATCAAAACACTTACTTTAATGTAATCAATTCTATGTTGATCTCTAAGTGTTCCTGTTCTATCCGATACTCCATTTTCACTTATAAGAAATACTTGATCTCCATACGTATGTTTGAGCCATCTTAAAAGCTTTCCCATACCCCATGGAACAACCTAAAAATAATTATTATTTAATAAATGTCAATAAAAATGGCAAAACAAAGAATGTGACAAGAATGTTAAATAAGTAAATCACGAAACCATAATTATATCAAAAAACAACTACTCCTCCAAAATAAGATTTAATTATTATATTATAATATTTTGATGGTACCAAATTACATTTATGTTTTTTATTTTTTAGTTTATATGGCCCGATGATAGCGATTGATCCGAACCGGGTTTCCGTTTAAAATTTATTATTAATGCATATGCGGTGCAGATTTTGAGTTAATTATTTCCTTTAAAAAATATAAATTTTTTGAACTTTTCTTCGGGATATTTTTCGAATTAATATTTACCTTAAACCAATCAATAGCAGCGGTTTCCCAAGTATCTTTTTGATAGGTAGCTACACCTGAATCAGCATCGAAGCTAACTTCATAAGTTGGTTCAGGTATAGATTTTACCATATAGGTCGTGTAGTGGTTTATAGCTAAGTTGTCATAAGTTCCTGTAAAAAAAAAAAGAAAAATGATAAAACAAAGTTATTTGTAGCCCTTATTAGAACAGTAAATAACTCTACTAAAAAATTTAAAATAATTAATGCAAGAGTATTTCGAATAAACTACCAGCTTGTGCTAAACAAAAACCGAACGTATTATAGCATTGAGTTGTTCGGGTGTGATTTGAGCACTAAACGTTATAATTTTTTGACGTAATTCATCCCAGTTGGTAGCTCGTTCCAACCTATATACATTGCTTTTAAGCATTTGCCAAAAATAAAAATCAAGCCAAGATAAGTCTAGAGACCCTTGTGGTCATACCTGTGCATTATTTGATGTACATCCGTCCTGTTGCAACCCAATGTCACTAAAATTAACCTAACGGTTGACGACAGGAATAATATTATTTTCCGGTAGTTGTAAATACTTCTGGGCATACAGATTACTCTAAATAAAAAAAAACCGACGACAATATCACCCGGATTTCTGTCCATACATTTAGTTTAGCAGATATTTTGTGCACTTAAGTATTTATTCTTCTAAGACCAATAGATTAAAATGGAAAAATAAATAAAATTTGGCATTCCATCCGTTTAAAATGGTCGTCAGGAAACAAGAATACCCGTCTTTTTAAAATATTTTGTATCCGTCTCTCCTTCAAGCCAACTTCCGCGGCAATTGATATCGACCTGGTTGCCTATAGGGACGACACTTTTTGAAATTATTAAATAAAGATATAATAAATACATTTATTATTTCTTTAACAGAATGACTCCCACAGTACAACTTCACTATTTGTATTTTTTACGAGAAGTATAAACAACACGAAGCCTGATTTGCGGCGAGAGAGGTGCTTTTATACACATCTCCCACAGCACACCCACCTACCATTCGGCATAGGGCTTGTCTGCTTCCCAACATCTCAGCGAGACCACCGTCAAGGGAACCCATCCCATCTGCCACACTCCAAAAATGAGCGGGGAAAGAAAGACCGTTCCACTTTATTCCCCCCAAAAAAAGTTTACATTTTGTTGGTTAATTCAGAGGTTAATTACATATAAGTTTAGTATAATTTTACAAGCAAAGTTGGTAATGCCGTGTTAGGGCGAAAATGGTTAACTTAATAAAATAGGTTAACTTAACTTAGGTTTACATTCCGGTTATATACATTTGCTATATTAGAATAGAGGAAGAATAATTTAAATACAAACAATAGGTTAAAGAAAGAAAATTTAAATACATAAAATAGGTGTAACGAGAGCAGGTACATGCCAAGCTAGCCTAGATTTAGTCGACACACGTAGACTAAATTTAGCTAAGTTTAGAAGAAAGATAAAATAAAAACTAAATCAGTTTGAGTTGATTAATGAAGACAAAATAAATAAGAAAAAATAGATCGTGCCAAAATAAAACAAATTCAGCTAGAGAGAGTTGAAATAACATGCCCAAAAAATAAATAAGTGAATTATTGAGTAATGCTATCTATATACCTAACAGTTTTGGTCAAACAAGGATTTATAATATTACTATTTACATTATTTACATTTTGCGGAGCTTGGAGGGAGCCTGGTTATCTTTTTGGAAGGGTCTGTTTTGTTTACTCATTGATGTCGTCTTTTAAGAGACTTTCACCCCATTCGTTAAGCCAACTGATCAACGTGTTGTCCGTTGCGTCTATGTTTATCGGTGGGTAGTCGTGTCCTATTGTCCTCAACCTGGTTGTCAGTGTCTGTCTGGCTGTTTATCGTTGTGGGTCTTGACAATTGCTTATTATGTGGTCTAGTGTTTTATCTGTGTCGCAAGATTCGAATTTTAAGTCTATGTCTGGTCGTAAGTTAAATCGTCGATAGTATGTTTTAACGTTTCCATGTCCTGTCAGTAGTTGTGTGGTTTTCCAGTTGAATCCAATGTTGTTTGTTTGTACTGTCTGTATTATGTTGTACGTTGGTCTTCCTGTTGTTCCTTGGTCCCATATCTCTTGCCAGTACCTGGTTTTGTTTTTTGTTTGTCAGTTCTTTAATTGTCTTTGTTATCGTAGTTGGTCTCCGTGTTTCTATGTTTTCGTCTTGTGTTGTTTTGTGTGTGTCTTTCATTTTTGTCTTTATTCTGTTTTTCCATCTAAAGTTAAGTCTGATGTGTCTGTCTGTAAGTCTTTCCTACATTCGTTGTACTCGTAGTATGATTTTGTTGTTCGTTTCTGGACGGTTCCTTCATTTAACGTTCCATCAACTGGAAGATTGTAGGTTTCTTTGAAAATCTACCAATGCGCCAGTAATATCAGTGAAAGCTTTTCACTTTTATTTATATAGCCGAAACGTTGTAAATATGTTAAAATTTCATCTTGGTTTGTTATGTTCTGATGTGTAGCAAAACATAATAACACAAGAAAGAATAAAGTAAGCACGTCTATACAGACGTGTTTAAGTATACACTTAAACATTTTGTATGACAATGAACTGTGTATAATAAAAACCGTGCAATACAGTAAAACCATGCAATAAATAAACCAAACCAACTTTTCTAAAACTTATTTATTTAAATCGTTAATTATAGAAATTTTATAAAAGTACATGTACTCTCTAAGAGCATTATTTAACAAATCATTTGGTAGAATTTCACATAATAAACATAACATCTGCATTGATTCAGAACAAGTTTTACAAAAATATAAAATGTTATAATAATAATGACAAAAATTTAGAGCTTCTATTAGGGACACTCGATAAGATATCAAATGTTTGTTGGTTTTAAGAATTTCCTGAACTTCATCCTCGCACAAATAGTATTCAACACCGTGTTTTTTCACAACTAGGAATTTAATGTCATCATAAACCAGTTGCGTGACGGTACAATAATCACCACACGGATGCGTCACAGGTTCATATTCGTCCGGGTAGGTTGGTAAGTCTTCATGGAAAAAATCTTCAAGTTTTTGCTTAAGCAAGTCAATTAAAGAAGCCCATTCAAACGTACTAAAAGATATTTTACTTGGTCGGAAATGCTGCTTCAAAATGACTGCTGGTATAAACGATCTCGCTGGACTTATCCCACATTGAATTTCGTATCCTGACAACATATATGAGGTTTGTAGTAAGTAATGTACCTCACGTTTCGCTGCATCTTCACAAGCTTGAACATTTTATCAAGTTCTTAGGAAGGATCAGAATCATTATCATCAGACTTTGATTGAAATTTCAAAAAATTATTTAATTCTTTATCAAAATCGTTCATTTCGGTATCAGACATGTCACTGTCGCTATCACTATTCACTTCGATACCACTGTCTTGGCTGCACATGATTACTGAACTGAAAAACTGACAATGCTGCTCCTATTTATAGCTCCCACGAAAGACCGCGTTTTATTATCGTATGTTTCCAAACTGATAAACGTGATGCTGTTGAAGCAGATCCGACCCTGTTTGATCATGTAAATACGGCTAGCATTCGAGTATCTTTGAATAGTGAATACTATCCCAATGAACGTATACAGTTGAACTTTGCAAATAGTCACTTTGCTGAGGCCCATTTTACCTACAACGACTTTCAAGTCATTTATGCAAACTCTACTCTGAAAAAATATCTCTTGGATTATGTTGCATTTAAAAATCGTGCTTTGTTCGTTATTGATTGTTCAAAGCGAAAGGAAACCATGAAATCGTCTACTGATGATGTGAGATTGGATATCGAAGCCGATACTGGATTCCTGGGCAACACTAAAACCTACTGTATAATTATTCATGATTGCTTAATGGAGTACTTTCCCCTCACCGAAGTTATTAAAAACATCTCGTAAAAAACGTTATCATCAGATCCAAAACAGACATCATGAGAATCGCACTCGTCGACATTCAAGGCTTCATCGTTGATGACTTATTTGTACCTAAAGAATTAACTATCAAAATTGGTTTCAAGACGAGCCATTACATCTTTACGCCTCCGCAACCTTTTGCTACATTAAGTAATAAATACAAAAAAACTGCATCGTATTTAGAGAAGAATTTACATGGTATTAAATACTCTTTGGGCAACGTAGAATATTCCAAGTTGAATAAAATACTTGAGAATAAGTTGTTGCTTGCTGCAGACTATGTTTATGTTCGAGGAGAACAAAAAGCAGAATTTTTACTTAAGAAATGCAAGATTTTAGGCGTTTTTCCCAACATTATTAACGTTTGCAAGTATGATGGTACGCCCTGTGCAACTGGGAACTTTGCCCCTGATATCAACCCATGTCATGTCACTGGACAATTTTCTTGCACCCAACGAAATGGGGAACGTCTACGCCAATGGCTTATAAGTGTAATATTACCTATGTAATAGGTAGTTTTTTAAAATAAATTTTAATTCCTTAACGTATGATTTGGGTTTTATTAAACCGCCTTTCCTTTTTAAATGTTAATTTTAATGCAAGATGATTCTAATTTGCGATTTACAATTACAATATTTAACAATATTATAATTATTCCAAAAAGTATAATATATAAAAGTATAACTGATGTATCATATTGGGTGATTTCATCTTTCTCGTACCATTTTGAATCGCTCTCCGTATTATCAGGAAATATAAGCTTTATCTTATAGAATTGTCTTGACTGTATTTAAATTAATCTTTATTCAGAATGCGTGGTATTTTTGCATGTGATTAGTAATCTAACATATGCATCTGTTCTAGAAATTTCAATTGCAACGAAGTTTTCAAAATTAGTTATGTGAACGGAAATTCCAATTACAAGATAATATTTTCTATCTTTACAACGTGTATGAAAAATTAAGAACGTCTATGCGATTTTTCCTAAAAATTAATAGGGGTAAATTTCGAGGCTTATGTATTCGGTAAATTTATTCTCAATGAATCGGACCAATAGAAATACAGATATAAGTTTTAAGTCCTTCTGACTTTCGTTCTACGCGTGATTTTTCTGTTCGACGTTCATCTATATCACGCTCTCTACATAATCACGTTTTTCCCGTTTAAATCTGACCAACAATAACAAAGATATAAGTTTTAGGCCATTTTGGCCTGACACTGCGCATGAGTTTTTTCTTCAACGTTCATTTATATCATGTTTTCTACGTATTACCGTTTTTCTTGTTTTAATCGGACCAATAGTAGCCGAGAAACATGCTTAGGTCTTTTTGGCTTTCGTTCTGCACATTATTTTGCTCTTTAACTTTCATCTATAATACGTTCTCTACATAATCACGTTTTCCTGTTTAAATCTGACCAGTAATAACCGAGAAACACGCTTAGGCCCTTCTGGATTTCGTTTTGCGCATGATTTTTCTATTCAACGTTCATCTGTGCCGCGTTCTTTACATAATGCCGTTTTTTTCCGTTTGAATCGAACCAGTAATTTCCGAGAAACACGCTAAGGCCCTTCTGGCTTTTCGTTCTAAACATGATTTTTTTTTGTTCTACGTTAATCTGTACCACGTTCTCTACATAATGCTGTTTTTCCCGTTTGAATCGGACTAGTAATGTTTGAGAAACATACTTAGGTCCTTTTGGCTTTGGTTCTGTACATGATTTTTCTCTTCAACGTTCATCTATATCACGTTCTCTCCATAATGGCGTTTTTCCGTTTAAAATCTGTCTAACAATAACAAAGATATGAGTTTTAGATCCTTTTGGTCCGACACTGATGATTTTTTTCTTCAACGTTCATCTATACCGCGTTCTCTACATAATGCCGTTTTTTTTTCTTTTGAATCGGACCAGTAAGATCCGAGAAATACGCTAAGATCCTTCTGGCTTTACGTTATGCGCATGATTTTTCTGTTTGACGTTAATCTATGCTGAGTTATCTACATAATAGCGTTTGTCCCGTTTGAATCGGACCAACAGCAATAAAGATACACACTTACCTCGTATATTTTTCATTGTTTACGTCAACGATTGCCGCCATCTTGGATTCACTACGTTATCTAACCGCGAGCTAATGTTATCATATTTACTGATAAGCAAGACTTCGATTCTAAATAATCCAACAATAAAATTTATGCGCCGACCACGTTGTCAGCATGGTAATACAGAATTTACGGTGAGTTCTCCATGGAAAAAACACCATCTACGATGGTATTTTCCTCAAGCAATACCTGTAGCTCTTACCAATGCACAAACGGCTTTCCAAATGTGACAAAATACTTCGACATTAACGTTTGAAATGGTTACTGCCCCTAGTATAACATCTCCTGATATTACTTTAACTGTTTGCAGAACTCATTATTTTAGAACAAATTGTATGGATAATGAGGAATGCACGTTGACCCTTGACGGACGCAATCTTGCTGGCGGAGCAAGTGCCATTGCGGAAATTACTATCGATGCTAAAACGCTCGTAAGAATAGGTTTCATCCTCCTCATCGCAGAATCAACACTCATCTTTTGGTGTCGTTTTCATCGCATAATCAACACTTTTAGTTTCTCCCATTGACTTACCGATGTTGTTTTTACTTTGTTGGGTCTACATTTAAGAATAGGTTTCATCCTCCTCGTCGCAGAATCCACACTCATCTTTTAGTTTCTCTCGTTCCCTCACTGCCGTTACGTTTTGCTAGGCATACATGTAAGAATAGGTTTCATCCTTCTCATCGCTGAATTAACACTCATCTTTTAGTATCGTTCTCATTGCATAATCAACACTTTTAATTTTTCTCATTAGCTCACCGATGTTATGTTTTTACTTTGTTGGGTCTACATTTAAGAATATGTTTCATCCTCCTTGTCGCAGAATCCACACTCAACTTTTAGTTACTCTCGTTCCCTCACAGCTGTTATGTTTGTTACTTTGTTGGACATACATTTAAAAAATAGGTTTCATTCTCCACATCGTAGAATCCACACTTTCTTATTTTAGACGTCCGCTTATATATTTAACCACTAACTTTGATTTTTTCAGGTAGGAGAATTTTTTCAACATTTTTCCCGTAATGTACACATAAATACCTTTTCAACGAGGTATCACATGCTCCAGGACGGGGGTGGGGGCCGCTGACCGCGGGGGAGGGGGTGCGAGGCGCCTGGCACGAACCATGCGATCTCACTATGCCAGACCAAGTCCGCGCGAATCGTTCCTCTCTCTCTCTCTCTCTCTCTCTCTCTCTCTCTCTCTCTCTCTCTCTCTCTCTCTAACACATTGATTTCCCATACCTATAGGTACCTCTCTCTCTAACACATTGATTTCCCTATACTGGTAGTGAGGCCTGTATAGTATATCTACTGGCTGCTGTATCGAATTCACGTATCTCTTCAATCAGTACTAAAATAGTCGCAGTGCCAGGCGTAGATTTTTAAATTATGGATCTAGAAGAGTGTATTATATTGTGGTATATCATTCATTATCATTTGACGCAACAAATGATGGCAAAGTAAAAATATATCTACATCATTTAGAAAAGAAACATTCCATATGACGCGCAGTTTATTTGTGACATTGTATATTAAGAAAAAGTTATCTGCATTTCCTGGATTCCATAAACAGGGATTAATCTACACCAAACTAATAAATTTTTCGGTGTCTAAAACTATATTTTCCATCACTACTTTATGGCGCTTAGTAATAAATAAATAAATAAATAAAAGTATAACAAATTAATCAGAATTTCTTTTAAAAATTGTTTAGTTCTGACGTTTATAATAAATTTATTTACGAAAAGCGTACAATATTCTAGTAGACCGAAAATTTAAACAAACCTGAGTGTTTTACATCTGTCAACTTTAATTTTATTTGAAAAATAAAAATGTGCAAAACACACAGGGTTGGAGGTTTTTCGACGGATAGTGTAGATAATAGATAGATAATAATAAACAATATTCCAATTAATAAAGTCAAAACTCATAAATCAATTTGGAACCAATTCATGTTGTGTCTTCAAGAAAAATGTACGAGTTTGACGCAAAGGCATCTGGAGAGTACATTACTTTAATATTAAAAGACAGGGCATACAACACGCGTAGAGAAGACGGTAAAATATTTAAATTTTGTAGTTTAGGCTAATTTTTTATTTGCGGAAAAATAAAAAAAAAAACTCTTCGTGCATCTAATTTGATCGTTAAACATAATTTTTAAAATTTTGTTTTCTCATACAATTTAATCGATCAGGTTACCTACTATTGAAAAATCCTGCGCCTATGACATAATCTCCGTTGCAAAAGTATCCATGTCTGAAAAGGTCCATATATCGTAATAGTAATTCTGTATGCGGCATACGCATTCAGCATCCACGGCTGGAGGTGCCGGGATGCAGAAATTCTGTATCGCGATACTGTATGCGTCGCCCGTACCGTGTGAAAAGGTCCATTTGAATGTATGGTCAGCGTGAATCTCGGATACGCGTATCTGGCATACAGTATCTTCGTGTGAAAGAGCTCTAAAGGCCTGGTGATTTGACAAGGCCAATGAAGTAGTCATATAGATTGACTATCCGTGTTTTTCAAAATAAATATAAGCTTATGCATTGAAGTAAAAATGTAAGTAATTATTTTTTTTTTTATAATTCAAAGGCTGAAAATTGGTTTGTGAACACATTCGTGCTAAACCGATTCTAAATAATGAGCATTTGCGAGGCAATATTGCAACTAGCAAACGATCCGCTTTAAGCAATCTCTACGAATATTGATATGGATTCCTGATTGGTGTGCTTTGAGCATCAGGAAGAATATCACCCACTATGTGAAATGTGTTTAAGTTATAAATTTGTAAAAAAAAAATTGAATTGGTTGTGATAGTAATTGTGATTTTTTTGATAGATGTTGAATAAATAAAAAAGGGGGTACCATCCAAATTGAGAGGATGATCAAAAGTTTCAACGATCCTCAAAATTAAGCAATTTTAGTAATAAAATTGTTTCTTGGTACCAAGAAAACAAATTATAATATACAGAAAATCACAGTGAAGATTAATCATTATATATAATGTTATAATAAATGGATATTTTGAAAATCTGATTATTATTGGATACAGATTTTGAAAGAAGTAAATAGTATCGCACTAATTGAACGTATCAAAGGAAAATAAATCCAAAAGATAAGTACTTTTGAATTGATAAGTTATTTGACAGTGAATTAATTTTCTAAGTTGTCATTGATAATGACATACTTTACAATAATCTACAAGTTTTAAAAGCATTCAAATCAACAGAGAATACCAGCTGGGAGCAGAGCAATAATTTATTTTGTATTGAGAAATTACAGAAATCCGGAAGAAGATTGAGAACATATTTTTTTATTATTGTTATCAGTTTTAACTTGTTTATAAAATTTCAGAGAGAAGCACACCCTCAGGAGTATTGTTCCTGGTGCTCAGAGCTACGCCGGGGCGGAAATTCATATCAATATATATGTATTAATGACAACAGATCCACAGGGTTGCCATATCCAAACTGTCAGTTCCCACTTACCAGAATTTTGACAGGTCATTGGAATGCCTAATAGCTAGCCTGGTTAGAAACAATAAAGTTATTTAATTCCAAAGCCAATATGATTACTTTTTTATGTTGAATACTCTTTATTTGGTTGTACATTGGTTTATACATACCTTTAATTAATTCGATTTCTTCATTTGAAAAAGCTGGCAAGCGAGATTCGTTGAAACCTTGTTTTTTACTGAATTCGGCAATATTATCGATCATAACCTTTGGCCAGTTACCGTGTATTATTGGATTTGCGTACATTCCAAACTAAAATAAAAAGAGCAAAAATACAAAAAATAGTAAATCAATAAATAAACAATAATTTTCGCTTGAGCTTAAACAACTGTCGAAGGAGGCTTTTTTGTTTATCTAAAATTACTTACAATAAACTGACGTTTTGTCTCAGCAGCAATGGCATCACTCTCACTGTAAGTAGCTGGTTCGTACCAATCTGAATCAAGTACTATAGTAGTTTCAGCTAGAAAATATAAACAGGTCATTAATATTTTGATACCGTGGGGTGTATGTAAGTTTTGAAGCGACCTTGTTCATACTTATTTTAAAATATAATTATTACTTATATAGCAGCCATCAAATCGTACAATAAACAATGCAAATTAACAATTCTTATAGCCTGCTATGAGTGTAGTGAGGACTGTCCCTTCCACTAAAAGCCAGTTTACTACCACATATATAGCTGAAGCTGCCAAGGTCATATAAGCAATTAATAAGTTAACGAGCTCAGTTTGTTCCGATTTTCCGAGGTGATGACTTAGATATTAATATATTATAGTCGAAGTTATACATTTTAAGACTCTGCCAAATATAAGTGCTAAAAATCACTTTCTGAGTGCACCATCTCATAAAAATATACATTCGTTTTGGAACTAAACTTCGAGTAGCTGCATCGACAGGTAGGGAAAATACAATAGTTTTAAAACCACTTATTTTAGATCCCAATATTAAAGAAATTTTTTTTTGCAGTGGAGTAGAAGCTTCCTCCTCTCGCGGAGATATTGCTGCCACCTCTTTCATAGAATATACATTCAAATTTCTTTTTTTTTTCGAAAATTTTTGAAAATTGGAAAATAATTTAATGAATTAAGTATGTTTTGGTAGTCTAGTAATAATAAATTAATTATTGTTTTAAGAAATATTAGTAATTACAATAATAACCAATTTTTTTGAATAATACAATGGTAGCTGATTAACTTGAGATTTAAAAATTGAATAAAAAACAGAAGACCTACTGAATCAAAAACAACAAATCGTTAGGATAACAGTATGTCTGTTTACCGGATTCTCTCGCCTAAGCAGATACATATGAGTGTCATCAATCAAGCAGAAGAAGCAACATTGTGCAGGTTCTGTGAAGATGAATAGAAAATATAAATCCACGTCCTATTCTGGTGTGAAGATATAGCCATATTGAGGTTTCGATAATATACCACAAAACATGATCGATGGATTTTACTATTGGAATTTTTACAGAAAGCTTATAGACAATTGTTTTTTTACCTAAAAATCTTTCAATATGTCGACCATAAAAGAAATGTTAATTAAATCGTTTCAATTGATTTATTTTTGTACAAACGACTAAATAACATTATTACACTATCAATATAGCGATAAACCGTATACATTTTTTTTGTAAATGTTTATAATTTCTTACTATTTGTTTTTAATAATTTTTGAAATAAAAATAATAGGAAATAATTTATTTACGTATAATATGACGATTGACATTTATATTTGTGGTTGTCAAATATGGTAAGAAAATGTAGGTTTATTATATGAATGAGCTGTTTGGCAATAGCTGCAGGCCATACAGGGTAGCCGAGAAATCAGAATGAAGCCGGAGTATGTTTGAAAAAGTTCACGTATTGCAGAGCAACCCGCAATGTCCAGGCCGTTCCGCGTAGCCTTACCAGTGCGTGAGTAATCAGTTATATTTAAATTGTTCCAGGCTGCAAAAGTTATGTGAATTAGTTAAGTTTTTTTTTATGATTTTATGACAAGTGTAAATTAAAAATTTAAAAAAACCGACTTCAAAAACGTGCAGATGCCATCACCACATCTTAACAAAATTTATATGTGATCACCCCTGAGGTACCCCCTTACTGACAAAAAAAGAATCATATAAATCGGAGAAGGTGGTAAAGCATTATCGCTAAACATACATAAAAAATGAAGAGTTTGAGGATTTTCTCATGGACCCAATTTTTAGATTTTGACCAAATTCATATGGGACCACCCCTGAAGTAGTAGCCCCTTTCTTACAAAAAAAGAATCATATAAATCGGACAAGGTGGTAAAGCATTATCGCTAAACATACATCAAAAATGAAGAGTTTGAGGATTTTCTCATGGACCCAATTATTAGATTTTGACTAAATTTATATGGGACCACCCCTGAAGTACCCCCTTTCTAACAAAAAAAAGAATCATTGAAATCGGACACCGTGTTAAAGAATAATCGCTGAACATACATCAAAAATGAAGAGTTTGAGGATTTTCTCATGGACCCAATTATTAGATTTTGGGTAAATTTATATGGGACCACCCCTGAAGTACCCCCTTTCTAACAAAAAAAGAATCATTGAAATCGGACACCGTGTTAAAGAATAATCGCTGAACATACATAAAAAAAAAAAAAAAAATATCGCGACGAATTGATAACCTCCTCCTTTTTTGAAGTCGGTTAAAAAAGGAAAGGGGGATCATCCTGCGATAGTTTCAGGCGCTGTTTGTTCTACGCACTATTTCGTATAGATAGACGCTATTTTACCACGCGCTCTTTTGTTCAAGCTACTCCAAGGGCTGTAAGTTCCGCATTGTTTCGTCGAGCACCATTTTTGACAGCGTTCTTTTTTATCAAAACCAAACACGCCCACATGCCGGGTAATTGGGCTTGATACATGTTTTACAAACTTGACAATACTTGTAAAGTTAAAAAGGTTTTAAATTTAGAAAATATCAGAATCAACAGGGAAGAGGACGAGGAAAAATATCTTGACAATTTTTAAATTATTAGTTTTATACAATTTTTCTGATAGCGAAAGTTACATTTTTTAATAGATCGCTACAACGCAGGACACAGGTAAAATGACGATTGGCATGTTTGAATTGATTTGACAACACTGTATTACTAGATAATTTCAATTCAAACGACAGTATGTAAAATGTCACTCAGATGTAACCAACAGTTTTAAAATTTTAAGACTAAATATCACGGAATTATAAACATTTACATATCATTTTTGTATGATTTATTGCTCTATGGATAGTCTGATATTGTTATTTAGCAGTTTCTACAACAAGATATGAATTAAAATCTTGTGTTTATAACAATAATTTTAAGCGTTTCCAGGGGAAACATTGATTTAGAAATATTTAATAAGTTCTCTGTTTCTCTTGTAAAATTGACTACAGTTCATCAAATTTCTAGAGGCTTTCGACGGCTAGACAGAGAAAGCACTACTGACAGGCATCCCGACGGATTTACGCAATGAAAGTACACTCTGCGCATCAAGTATTTCACTATTTCATTCAGACGTAAATGTCAGATGTAAATTTCGCTAAAACATTTCTTTTATTTTCGTTTGTGTTTTTTGCTCATTACAGTTTAATAGAACCTAAGTATGGAGTTTAATAGCAAATTAAGAGACCGCGTGATTAACAGTCAATCTCGCGAAATAATAGCCAATGTTATAGAGTTTATGAGAAGGAAACTTTAATTCACCTTCAATACCATTTAAAAATGTAAATGATCGTGTTGCTGCAGCCACAGGAGTATCTAAAAACACTGTCGTCCGCATTTCTGGAGAGAAAAAAACAATCGATAACCGTGAGATATCGGAATTTTCATCACCAAGAAAAACCATTAAAAAACCAAAAACAGTTAATGATATAGATGAAGCTGCACAAGAATCAAATTTTATTTTTTTATTATTAGATAGCTATTTTTGTTTCTGAGTTGTGTTCATTTACAGGCTCAATTTTTTTCCGTTTCTCCTTTTTGATTTTATATGGGGTTTCAAGTTGTTTTTGACTTATTTCGACGTAAATCACAACAACACACTTTTTTAATAAAGCAAACAAGTGTTAAGAGGTATATGTACGTGTAAACTACAATTACAAAAAATTGATAGGAAACCCATGAAACCACCAACAAAAATGTAAAGCTAGCTTCCGTACTAGAACATGGTGTCATTCGTCGAGATAATTTATCGTTTTGTTTAAAAGATCAAGAAAAGTAAATATTCCCCTGTTATTTTTTATAAAATTATAAGAGAAATAAATTTTTTTCTAAATAGTATAGTTTATTATTTTATAGAAAAACAAAATTTCGAAAATTTTAGTAATGTTTCAGAAACAACCGTTATTAATAATAGGTACCATTTTCCTTAATAAGGTAGAAATTTCCACGATTTACAAAGGCCTACAAAAAAATTATAGGTATTTTCCGCTATCCTATAAAATTTATATTTTCTGACTCAATTTCAAAAGGTTGAAGGAATTCCAAAACACCTTTTATGGCATAATAATTATTTTCAATTCTACATACTATCTTTAGCTGCTTTTAAAAACGTTCTAAGAAAGTCCAATCAGACCAATTTAATCCCTAAACTATTCCACACTTTTAAAATTTAATTACCTAAAAATATTAAAAACTATTTAAAATAACTTGTTTAGCAGACTGTACAATAGCTATCTTAGTCACACGTAGCGCGTTCTCTGTCTGGGCGTCGAACACCTCTAGAAATTTGATGAACTGTAATTAACACATACGAGGTGACACTTCTTCAAAGACGACACACTATTTTACTATTTTAGCTTGTCCATTTTATTGCATTATATTTATACATCGAACCTTTAAATCCGTCCATTTGATTCAAAATTAATAAATAAAAATGAATTTAATATTTTTTCCTTTCCTCAAATATTTAATATTTTCCAATTCTAGAGAACACTTTCCCCTTTGCTTAACATTGATCCATATTGCACAAGTTTATGTGATAATAAAATCTAGCTTCAAACACTTGTCGTGCGAGCCATTTTAAATCATCCGTCCCTGATCTTTGTTTACGTTTATCGCCGGTCAGCAACTCGTCTGTGTTTCTGGAAGCAAAGAATACCTATCCAAGAAGCGAAACTAAATGGGCGATTCGTGGACACCTAGAGGTGGTTTAACGTCAAATATATAGCTGTCAATTTATGTAGAGCAACGTTTGGAATATTATTATTAACATTTTGTTAAAACTGCAGTATAGTTAAGTAGTTGTATTTAATTAAATAGTTTTTAGAAATTAGATTTTTATTACATAAAAAAATACATTGCGCTGTTCGTAAATTTTAATAAACGTTTTTGCATCCGGCTGTAAATGTTTTATTTTTAAAATTTCTAAATCAGTAATACCTATAATGATAATTTACGACTACGTATTATGCATCGTTTAATTTCTTAGTCTTTCATATAAAATGTTTTTTTTTATGTGTTTTAAACCATTCGGATTAAGACAGTAAATAAACAATAATTTTAAGCAATAAATAAAATATACGACAAGCTCATTCCGAGCAACCAAGTCACTGTTATCAGGATGCAATCGAAATGCATGCAGCTACCTACAGTACTTCTGGATATGTAACGTGTGAAGGGTGGGTTACCCTATGCACTTAGGCCTCACTAGGCCCATTGTATATCCTCCTAAGATAATAGGCACCTCCTAGTACGTAAGACTGTCTACAGATTGAATGTAGGTGACAACGTCGCCATAATACGTAGTCGTAAAGTATCATTATAGGTAATACTGATTTAGAAATTTTAAAAATAAAACATTTAGAGCCGGATGCAAAAACGTTTATTAAAATTTACGAACAGCGCAACGTATTTTTTTATGTAATAAAAATTTAATTTCTAATTTCTACTTAGTTAAATACAACTACTTAACTATACTGCAGTTTTCACAAAACACTAATAATAATATACCAAATGTTGCTCTACATAAATTGACAGCTATATTTGACGTTAAACCACCTCTAAAACACTAAGAAAACTTGGCAGTTTTTTGTACACGAATCGCCTATTTCGTTATCTAATTCGGCCAGTGTTAGCCAATACTCGCCGAAAACAGAACTGCTAATAAATAAGAGCGTCAGGTAATCATAGAGGATATCCTCAATGGTCTCATCTTCTTTTTCGCAGGCCCTGCATGGTGCGGATTATGACAGCCTTATTATATGGAGATGCTTTCGTACTTGGCAATGACCAGTTCGAGTACCTGTGATTAGGCGCAGATATTGTCTAGTCATATTGAAGTATTTGTTTGCTGTAGTATTGCCAGGATAACTTAAAGGCTCCCTGGCAACTCTGCAGTTTCTGGTTTCATCCTATCTTTCCTTAAATTTCTCAAGGGAATGTCCTTTAATTAGATCTGTCATTACATATGTTGTCGGTCCAATAGAAGAGCCAGGTCCTGAAAGTATTTGGTTGGCTGCCTTCTTAGCTAGTGAATCAGCACCACATTGTTGATGGATACTCTTGTCAAAGCTTTGTGACATTCTAGTACTAAACCTTAGTAAATTTGTAGTCTGGTCAGGGTAAGTAGTGCTTATCTGCTATCAATATAGATGAGCTTGTTCCTACCAGTGATATTATTTCTGGTGAGTTCTTTTGCTGCTATGACAATCTCAGTAAACTCGGTTTGAGGTACATTGCTCACGGCCCATTTTATGTTGAGGTTCAAGGAATTGGAGTATATTCCACATCCTAAGCCTTGTTTTGTTTTAGAACTGTTGGTGTAGATATGAATCGTACCTGCCACTTCCGGCTCGTCTATTCTAAACATTAGTTTCTATTGCAGAGGTGTGTCATTGTCATCAGAGCAACCTTCTTAATGTAAATATCAAGAGAAGTGAGACTAAGAACAACTTTCGTGGCTGTGGTTTGTGTGGTTTTCATGGCTCCTGTTATGTTGAGACATGCTGTTATTTGAATTTGTTTTAGTTTGCGGATAGCTGTCAATTTTTGGATTTTCAGTACCCAGACAACTGCACCTTATAGTAGCTATGTAAGTCCATGTGACGACTCTGGGGGAGAAATACCAGGTGCGCCCCACGGTTTGGCGACATTGTTCATAAGCAATGTATGCTCTTTTGACTTTCTTAGTGTCAATTCCATGTTAACTTGTTGTCAACGGAGCTATTTAGATACTTCACCTCTTTTATTTTTAGGAGTTCTAGAGGTTTTAATTCCATTTTCTTCCTTTTCCTTGTAAAAACGACCATATCTCTCTTCTTTAAATTAATAGACAGTGAATGGTCTTTGCACCACTGTTTCATAATTAAAGACACGAGTGGATAAAGGTGTCATGTCACAAAAAGATTATTTCGAGAAAATCAAGTTTTACAATTGCATTACGATATATGGCTCATGCGATACCTTCCTATCTGATGAATAACCGTTATTTATCAAAATTGGAAATTAGCACTATCACAAACAAAAAATATAGGATATTTTAGGTATAATATGCTATAAAAATAATTTTTTAAAAAATTGTGCATGATACATTTATCCACTTGTCTTCAATTGTTCTCATTCCCTATTTGCAGAATAACCAGGTAATTTTTTTACGCTATTGTGTAGTTTCTGTCATTATTGTACCTACAGTGATTATTTTGTTATTAAAATAATTTATTGTACATAAAGAACATAGTAAGAATTTTCTTTATGTCATTGTTACTTTAGTATTTGTTCAAGTCTTATGAACCAAACGACAAATATTGATTAATTTTCATACGTTTCCCAGTGTATTAAGTTCCCATGCTTTAGTACATACGAAAACACATTTAGTTTCGCTTCTTTGCTGGAAGGTGTTTAAGCGTTAGCCGACTCATAGAGCATTGAGAGTCTTTGAGACAGGATTGGATTCTTCTAGGGCAAAACATTTTTGTATATAGGTGGATTCTTTTGCCGTTAATTAGTTACTTTAGCAATAAGTATTTTCGAGTAAAAATAAATTTGTTAAAGTGAAAATAAATCAGTGTAGTTTTGAGTAAAAATAAATTAGTTATAAATTAATTTGGCGTATTTAGTAAATATAAATTAGAATAATTAAACGCTATATCATGTAGTCCTATAACATTTGTATACTCACTATGAAAAATGGGCCTGTATTTTTCATCCCACAAACGCCATGCTTTTGCGTGTGCCAACAAGACATGTCTGGCACATACATATTCTCCAATACCATTGGATACTACACCTGGAGCATATACCCCCAAACCATAACCAGCGTGACAAATTTGTTTGGGTTCGTTAATGGTAATCCAATTGTCTACGTATTCTCCAAAAGTCTCAAAACAGAATTTGGCATAGGCAACGTACCAGTCGACAACTTCGGGATTAAGCCAACCTAAAAAAATTATATTGCATAAATTGTATAGACATGTAATCAGAGGCTGTCCTCCAAAATATAAAAGAGAAGGTTCTCCTCGATAAATGCACGAGGCTATTTGGACCCGTGCAATAAAAACAAACTCTTATAAAATTCATTTCTTAATATACTTTTTACATCGACGAACCTAGTGTGTGGTAGATAATAATAAATCACTTGAACAGATTGTGACAAAGTTAGATGTTCCTCCAGGGACCCGATATATTGTTCATATTATAAATTTTAATGATTTATATCAGCTTTTCGCAAGAGCAATTTATTACGTAAGCCGATGAAATATATATTTTTTGCGATCGTGCCAAAAGTTACTATGCAAAAAATACTTTGATGCTCTATTGATTACAAGTTTAATCTGAAGATAACATTTTTTTGTAACTTGAGTGTAGCTATGAATGTAATAACTATTATAGGTAGATACTTAGGTACCTACCATTAAATATTATTACTATTAAATATTTAAAAGGAAATTTTTTTCTTTGATTTTGATTAATCCATATCTTATTACTAATACTAATGAAAGCTAATTTAGAGTTGCCCATGAATGACATCTAACAGTGACAATTTTCATAATGAATTTTAAATTGTCAGTTAAAAATTTTAATATTTTGTTTTAAAGCAGTTAAAAATGTCAAGTTGAGATAACGAAAAAGAAACTATTTGTACTTCTCCAAATATAATAATTAAAACAACAAATGAACCCACAGCAGATTTATTACCCGATAAATGAATTCTCGAATCGAAAATGATTTTTTTAAAAAAACTTTAATTTACTTAAAATAGAATAAATATAAATGTTTATGGTTTGAATGCTAACTAGGAACTTACTAGGAACTGAATGAACTACTTTTCCTACGACCACTTAGGAAAGTGACACATATCACACTTTATAGTCCCATGGAAAGTGCCCTATATCACACGCGTATGAATAAGAATTTACTTTCCACCCGTGTACAAATTTGCTACTTTCCGCAGTAGCTGTCACAAAATGTCAAATGCATCATTTCTATTTTGATCTTTGTAATGTCCATATTAATACTAAAATCAATATGATTGTTAAATTATTGAAATTGTTGTAAATTAGATCCTAGATATTTATATTCAACAATTAATATTAAAATAATTTTAAAATAACTAAGATATGTTTGCTCTTTATTCTGATTAAAAACATAACCGATTAGATCATTCAATTGACGTATGGCCTATTAGCTTATGGTTACAACGTCAAACTTATCAACTTTGCAATTTGAGACCTTACGAGCGACCGCGTTCGAATCCTGGCGGGGCAAGAATTTTTTTCTGTTTTTTTTTTATTTTTTTTTTATTTTTTTTATTTTTTTTTTTTTGTTTAGAAAATATGAAAAATGAATAAATGCGATTATTGTTGATTATTTGTTTAAAATTATTTTAATTATTATAATAATAACCTGGTTTTACATTTTTTGATGAAATTATTTTGTGGTCGTAGGAAAAATATTGTACATCACTTGTGTGAAAAATGATTTTCCATACTCCACACTCGGCTTGTGCCTCGTACGACAATATTTCTCACTCGTGTGAAAAATGTCCCTTTCCACACTCGTAATGTAATATCGTAATGTAATATACTATTTATATAAACAAACTATTCTAAAATGCCAACTATGCAAAATCGTATCTTCTATATATTCTTATGTAGTATGGGTGATATAATTCCTCCCCCTGAAGATCCAGGTTCCGAGGGCTAGCGAGGAACGACGGACATCTTGTAAGTTGAAACTTTCTTCGGTCCCTCTTGGATTTTCTTTAAGTTTTTTCCATTTTTTTAATAGCCAGAAGATAATGATGAAAAGTAACATAATATAAATAATAATAGTCCATGAGCTTGGTACATATGGAATGGTTTTGGATTCGAATTTGGGTTGATTTTGAATTATATTTTCTCGTAGAGTTTGAAGGTCATCTAGATTGATGGGTTGAAATTTGATATTGGAAGTGGACCATTCTTTTTCTGTAATTTGGTCATTCATTTTGGGAAAAATAATTAATTGATTTTCGAGTGAATTTTACTCAGCATTACCAATGGTTTCTTCCTCAGCTATAATTTGACAATTTGTTGGAATTACTGCTAGGAAGGTTCCAAACAGCTTAATTATTTCTTCTTGAGAATTACATTTAAGAGTTAGCGTAATTTCTTTGGCTAGGACCAAAATCCATTGATTCGTTTGTTCTAACCTCGTAAATGAAGGGCGTGATACGGGTATGGATACTTGTGGGCATGTAGAGGTGGCTTCGTAGTTTAGAAGTTGGATCTCGCAGGAACTGTTCTGATTTACTTTTCTGAGACTGGTTGGGTTACAAATGTAATTTTGGCTGGACATGGTGCAGGAGTTACTCGAATAAGCATAGTACAATTTATTTTGTACAATATATTTATTTTCCGGGTTAATCGCCTTAAACTGACCTTTTTCCAAAATAGGTATAGGATATAAATTATATAGGGTTGAATCTAAAGGTATAGTTATTGGAATATGTAATATATACGTTATTCTATTATTAGAAAGAAAGCAGGATATTTTTATAATCTTTTGCAGAAGTAATACATTACTTAAGCTTAAACTAAATGGTATATCATTTTTATTATAATCTTTAAATACGGTTTCCAAAATTCTGAATAAATCTTTGATTGTAATTATACTGGGATGTAATACTCCAAGTTGTGCAAATGATATCGAGTTTTTATTATCTTGCAGTATTGAATTTAATAACTCATATATGTTAATAATTTGGATAATTGTATCTTTTATAAATAATAAATTATTGAATGATAATATTTAATTACTTTTGTATTGCCAAGTTTTAAGGGTAAAAGTCCGGAATTTTCACTTAAATTTTTTACTGTTATTGTGTGTGGTAGTCCCAGTATACCAGGTAACCTGAAAAGATAAAATTTAGTTTTGGAAAGAATAAAGTCTTCTCAGTGGGCGTTTAATATTACTCATGTGTATTTTGCCATGTTTTGCGGTGGTTACAGTTTTTCGTTTTTTATTTACTGATTTAATAGCAATTGGTTTCTGAAATTTATTAGCACTTTTCTGTCTTTTTGTATTTTTGATATACGCAGTGAGGTAAGGTTCAAATATTTTGGGGTCTTCACGATCTGTATTAATTTTTTCGACATAGTCTTTTTTATTTTCTCGTAAGTGTTCATTTATTTTAGTGTATAATATTTTTCTCTGTCTTTTATGTTGATTTACGTAATCATTTAAAAGTAATCTATCCAAGTCTATATTAAATGGTTCATTATCAGTAATATGACCGTTAATAATGTCAATGGGTTTTAATTTCGTTGCGGAATGAATGGTATTATTATAAGCTAAAATTGCAAAGATTATTTTATTTTTAATTGGAGTACTTAGCGTACAATGGAATCTTTCTATTATTCCATTAGATTCAGGATGGTCTGGGGAACATAAGTGTATTTTAATTTTATGAAGTCCTAATAATTCAGTCAAAGCTGAGTTTTTAAATTCTGTACCGTTGTCCAAAATTATTTGTTTAGGTATGCCATGATGGGAAAAGAATTTTAATAAACTATCTGCTACTTCGGTGCCTGCTACAGCGTTTAAATAATAGGCTTGAGCATATTTGGAAAAACTGTCTACAACTGACTGTATTGATTTTTTCATATTGGGCCAATAGTACTTGTCTTTTATATGATTTAAAGTTTCTTCAATACCACGATGGTTCGTTTTTTCTTCGTGATAATTTTTTATAGTTTCAAGTATGTCTGTTTTATCGATAACATCTATTAATTTTTTATTTTATTTCCTAAATTAAACTAGGGATGATTTTAGGTGTTTTTGTAAAAAAACTGAAAAAGGTTCATAGAGGCTAGACTCCTCAAAATATAAATAATATTCTACTCCTGGAGCAACGTACTTAATAAATTCAATAATATGTTGTTCGGTATTGTTTTGTGAAATTTGTATATAAAATCTTTGCTTATTACCAAAAATAATTTTTATTTTTGGTTTTGCGGGTGAATAGAGGACTGACTGAGTCTATTATTATTTGGTTTTTTCCATAATTTACTGCATAGTCTACTATAGGGATTCCGATAACAGGCTTATCATTCGAATTGGAATGTACAGTATGATCATCGTCTGATATATTTGTATTTTGAGTTTCTGAAAGTTCATTGCCTTTTGGTATGTCTATGTCCACTATTGGGATTTCACCTAAATTTACGATCATGGATATGTCGTTTGTTTCTCTATTAGATATATTGTCATGTAGTTCAGGAAGTTTTGAAGTAGATGGGGGTGGTGTATTAAGTTCTGTGTTAGAGGGGTTATGGTCAAATGTAACGTTAGGATTGTTATAATTTGTTTATTCATTTATTATCTCATCTAAGCTATCCCAAAAGGATTTGGTTTCTTTTGTATGAATTTCAAAATTTTAATTTTCTTGTAGTATTTCGAAATTTTTGTGTAATTTTAAAAATTTTGACAAAATTACAAATATATTTTTAAACCTAGTTTTATTTCTATTAAAGTAAAAATGGTTTTTGAATCTTGTTCTTTTTCTATTGACGTTTGAATAGTTTTTTAATTTTATTTTCTTCCTGTTACATTTATAAATTCTTGGCTTTTTCATTCTATTTTTAATTTTATTTCGTGCAAATTCTTTTTTTTATACATGAAATTATTTTAGAAGACTTTTTATTGTTTAAATTAATCTTTAGTTTATATACTTGAAATTTGTCTATTTTTTGGTCCAATTTAGGATGCGAATTGGGTAACTTTTGTGGAACTATTTTGTTATTAGCATCTTCGTTAACATCCAAGAATGCTATTTCTAAACTGTTAGGTTTTGTTTTAATATGTTTTGTATTTTCAATTTTATTAAAACATGAATTAATATTGTTTATTTCTAAATTAGAAATTTCTTTTTCTTCAAATTTTTCTACCAAAATAGGT